GTGGTTTCGTAGGTAATAAGATTACCTCGAAGAGCATCATAGGTCGTTGTTTGGAAGTCACGACCTTCTTCGATTGCGTCCACCTTTGAACGCCATTTGGGGGATAGGCTTCGCAGCACCTTTCTCACGAGCTCTCGGTCGGTGTATGTCTTCCCGAGAAGATTGAGAGGATTGATGATGTTAGAGAATCTCTCAAACATTTCCTCAATCTTCTCATTTTCCTTCATTGAAAAGAGTTCATACTCGTGAGTTAGATGGTCAATTTTGGCCTCCCGAACCTGCGCGGTTCCTTTGTAGGTGACCTCCAATTTCTCCCACATTTGTTTTGCGGTTTCACACCACGAGATTTTGCGGTATTCATCCGCATTAACACCGCAATAAATCATGTTTATTGCCTTTGCGTTGAGCTCCATCTTTTGCAATCTTCGTCGGTGAACTCCTCTTCTGTTTTGGGGACGTTGACTTCACCGACATTCTTCATAGGGACTCCGCAGCCGTTCTTCACAATCAACCACAGCTTGTAGTCGTTGGATTGGATAAAGATTCTCATCCTCTCCTTCCAATACGAGTAGTTTGTTCCATCGAACAATGGTGGCCTCGTGGTTGATTGTCCCACGGTCACTCCTGCGTTGAACATCCTTGATGCCATTTGATCTTTTAGTTCCTGAAAAAATAATGTATTCGAAGAACTTCCTGCTCCGATACCAATTGTTAGACAAATGTGCAACTCTAGAGGGGGGGTGAATAGAGTTGTTTTCAAGAATGTGAGTTTTTCGCGTGTGTGAAATAATAAAATTGCGGGAATAAATAAAGAGAGTAAGGGAAGGAAGAACACCGAGATTTATACTGGTTCACCACCTCGTGGCTAGTCCTGTAACGCCACAAAATATGGCCTAAAATTTATTATAAAACAAAAGTAGTTTTTGTCCAATAAGGAATATTTATACGTTTGACCAAAAATAAATGGATTTTCAAAATAATTACTTTTTGTTAAAAACTTATTTTTATGGATATGTCCCGAAGAGACGATTCCAGCGGTACATTTTATGAATCAATCTCATTTATAAATTGCAAACTATGACAATTTTAAATATTAAAAATTGTAACTTTGACTCATAAAATAAACTCAATTCAAAAGAGATTTCTTAAGATTAGAAATCTAAATCTTTGACATTTGACAACACCATATTTATCTTTTGAATTAAATTCATATATTTTTATATCATTTATATTATTGAATTAATTTATGACTGAGACAGACCCGAACACTGAGAAAAATAAAAGTTCTCAGAAAAATATTTTGATTACGTCAAAATTCTAGTTTTGACAGTCTGTTTCCAAAAACACAATCCGTTTTCAATTCGGAACAATTTAGGCGAAAAAGCGCGTACCGTTTTAGCCAGTTTATCAGTTACGGAGTAGGAGAATATTTTAAAATCTTCAAAATTCCTTCAATCACGAGACCTTTTCTCCTTAGCTACCCCACTCCACTCCACTAACACTATAATCCAACCCTTCCTATATAATACTCCCACCTTTATTCCATTTTCTCCACCACATATTCATCATCAAACATCATCACCAATCATCCATCCATCATCTCTCCTCTTCACCTCTCTCTCTCTGTCGGTCAGGCACCAAGGAAGGAAAAAGGAGATTCCAACTCCATGATTTCATGTTAAGGAAGAAGAAGGAGCAAGAAGAAAGTAGCTNTATTTTAAAATCTTCAAAACTCCTTCAATCACGAGACCTTTTCTCCTTAGCTACCCCACTCCACTCCACTAACACTATAATCCAACCCTTCCTATATAATACTCCCACCTTTATTCCATTTTCTCCACCACATATTCATCATCAAACATCATCACCAATCATCCATCCATCATCTCTCCTCTTCACCTCTCTCTCTCTGTCGGTCAGGCACCAAGGAAGGAAAAAGGAGATTCCAACTCCATGATTTCATGTTAAGGAAGAAGAAGGAGCAAGAAGAAAGTAGCTAAAGTTTGTAAAATCCTGAGTTCAAACACAGCAGCCCACTTCTAGGTAAAAACTGAAATTTTCCATACATTATCTCGGAATACTTTCTGAACCAAAGTTGTAGCCCCAGACGATACAAATCCAGCCCAACAAACGGCTCGTGATTTCGTTAAGTAACGAAGAAGTTATGGCCAAAATACCGGGACTGCGCCAGTGGTGGCGAGCTCCTCGGGTTGGACCATTTTCTTCACCGAATTCATATTGTTTCATTCCAAGAACTTACCATAAACTCTCTAACACTTATTAGGAACATCCGGAAGGTATCATAGAGAAGGTTTGGCGTTAGAATATTGAAGTTAATGAGATAATCATCGGAATCGTTGTTCGTTGGAACATCCAAAATCCTGGCAGCAACTATGAGTCCACTTGTGAGCTATATTTGACCACATTAAACTCATTATTTTAACATGGTTTCTTCACGAAAGTTGTAGCCTTACGTCTTAGGAATCCACAGAATCAAACGGTTTGCGATTCCGTGAAGAAACGATGGAGATATGCTCAAAATACCGCAGGCTGTCCAATTGTAACGGGAATAACAAAGTTGGTGAATTTCGATGTTGTTTCCACTCCCGCTCATCCGTAAGGTTTCGGCCGATGATTTCCAGGTCTGTACCCTTACGTTAGACTTGTCGAATCATTCATTATGTATGTACATGAACATATATATTAATCCATATGTTGAAATCATTCCAAAATATATATGTGATGCATATATAAGTCATCTATATGTTGAGATCAAAATACACCAAATTCATAAAGTTAATATACACATAAGTATATATAAACCTTGGAAATCAACCCAACAATATGTATATGTTAATCAAAGGTGATTAAAAGACTTAAATAAGTATTTTAGACACCTAAAATATCAAGAGTAAGACTCGCAGACCCAAACGGTCGACGCAAACGGTCGACCGTCGTGTTAAAACCTCGAAACGGACCACGACTGTCAGCAGAACGGTCAACCGCCGACGGCGAACGGTCGACCGCCGCCTGTCCAGCCGAGGGCCATCACTTCCAGCCAGTCAACAACGGTCGACCGCCGGTCCACCGCGGTCGACCGTCACGGTGATCTAGAAATCCGACGAGTTGAAATATAGCACAGTCGACCGCCGTGCTAAACGGTCGACCGTTCCGAGCCCAATAAAATAAAGTATATTTATCCATTCATATTGTTTACAAATTGTTCATATCATATGACTCATATCATCACACATATTGTAGCATATCATATCATATGCATGCGTAAGAGATCATGCGTAATTGCGTCTCTTATAGCGTGATGTGCGGGACTCAGCAGTCCGACATCACCCGCTCCGGGCTTAGTGTACGTACATGGTATTCAGGCTTTCGAGTACCACCCCCATTTTTCTAGTCTCACCTCATTCGTGAGACTAAGGTGGCGTGAGTTCGTCGTACAACCTGGGCGAATCTCATAGCGCAAGGGTCGTCCTTGCACGTTTAGGTTCATGCATCATGTTATCATCATCAAGTACATTGATTACATAGGTGTCATGTAATCATCATCAAGAACAATCAAATAGATTAAATGTGAAATCATGTTATCATCATCAAGTACATTGATTACATAAGTGTCATGTAATCATCATCAAGAACAATTATATTGATTACATAAGTGTCATGAAATCATCATCAAGAACAATTATATTGATTACATAAGTGTCATGTAATCATCATCAAGAATAATTATATTGATTAAATATGCCATCAGGTAATCATCATTAAATATCCACCATCATATATCATCAAATTGAACATATGATATAATGTGCCATATCATGAATATTTTTATACATTTTGTGGACGTATATATATGTATATGTATATGTCTATGAATCATTCTACAATTCTAGCGTGGTACCACTCAGCGGTTTCGCTGAGCGTGTAGTTTGTATTTTTCGTTGACTACACGTAGGTAACAAGAAGACAATGATGGAACCGTTCCCGGAGGGCATTGAGTCAGAGGAGATGCAAGGATGGCAGGCAAATGTTGATCATCAAATTTTTAAATGTGTCATGATTTGATTATTATTGTACTTCCGCATTACTCTGAAAATATTTTTTTAAATGGGTCGCGATCTAGAGTCTGTAAATTTAATATTTATAAGTAATTGTCATTTTCAAATGTCAAGCGAAATTTTTATTTAAATCTCGTTTCACCTTAATTCGTGTAATTCCGGGTTATACGGATTGGGGTGTTACATTTTGGTATCAGAGCAAAACGATTTTCGAATCATTGAGTCAGTATTTTCAAAGTCCTGCATCCGCATTCTCCTCGACATCTCTGCCCCGGGAAGGTAATCAACAAGTAAGTTACTATGGCATAACACACGTACTTAACTCATTGAAAATTTGCTTCCTTTGAGTTGCTAGTATCCTCATAGACTAGTTTGCAATAAAGTTTAGATTGCCTCACAATGTTCTTCGACGATCACAGACGACGTCAGTAGATCAAGAAAGGAATTGTAAACCAGATAAGCGCGACATTTACGTATGTCATAGTACGCGAATGGCTAAGTGAACGATATGAATCAACTTCTATCAAGCCGAAAAATACGTCAAAGAAAGAACGTTCTCTAATAGGAAGTGAATCTGTCGTTTTCTAAAGAACACGAATAGAGTCTCACAAACCAGATCGAATACGACATATGTATCGAATCTGAAACACATTATAGGGATGAAACTACATACAAACATTAAGATAATTGACTCGTTCGTATACCCTATTGACGCAAAAAAAAATCGCAACAAGATGACAGAACAAAACAAGATGTGAAACAGTCACACCAACAGTGAAAGACTGGAAGATAAAGAAAAAGATTAATATTTACATGGTACATTTTGATGTTGGAAATAAATATTCTTCTGAAATGCACTGGTCATGCAGCTTAGACTGATATTTATAACTGACACGTAATGTACATGGACAATATTATTTCAACTTGGAAATATTACAAATGCAACTCTAAGTCTAACCTTCCAGGATTTGCAAACTCTTCATAACTAGCACCAGGACCTGGGAAAGCCTTAGCAAACTCTAGCTTGTCCAAAAGCTCATCAACAAAGAAAGAGGAAATGAAAAGTTTCCTCTGGTTGGAAGCCATGAAGTTCTGCCTCACTGCATCATCTAGAAACTTGATTAGGTTATTGAAATAACCGTCAATGTTTAAGAGACCAATAGGTCTGCTGTGCAACCCTTCAGATGCCCATGAGATTAAGGTGAACAAACCTTCGATAGTGTCAATCCCTCCAGGAAGTACAATGAAGGCTTCCACAATATGATTCATCTCGAAATACTTATAGTAATTGCTAGAGACGGTGTACTCCGCACCATATGTTTATCCATAGACCCCTCGTGTTGCTATATACCCTGGTATGAAACCTCTGACTCTAACACCATTATTATAGACTGTTGAAGCTACAGCTCCTTGAAGGCCAACGTTGCCTCCTCCGTAGGTAAGCCTGATTTTTCGCCTTACCAATTCACGTCCTAGATCAACCGCTGTAGCCATGAACCTTGGATTGCTACCAAGAGCATGACTACCAAGTAGACCAACGAATCTTATGGTATTAGAAAGAGCTCGAGAAGTTCCTTCCATAATGTGAGACGCTCTTGCCACAATTTGATATATATAGACTCTGAAACTGGACCATTGATGGAAAAGTAATTATCACCAGTCTAAAAACGTACAGGAAAGTGGATTCGTTCCAGACAAGAACGTATTCGCCAATACTGCAATCTACCGACGACATGACATATTGAGACTCATGAATAGTTAGGCTCATTGTCCTGAAATACATTCAAATCCGAGACGAAAAGTCAAAATGACTATTTACCTAAGACAATGACCCCTTGAGTAACTTCGAAAGAGTGAAACATTAAAAGATGAAAACCTAGTATTTGCCACAATAATTCGCAAACGCTATATTCGTATCATGTGACCTATATCCTTGAAATACTAAAACTTGCTGTGTTAATTATACACTTAAAGCATCTCACTTGATCAAACTTAAAAAAAAAATTGAATTCCATATTTTTTTAAATCATTGAGAACTTGTTGTAACTCATGACTCTCCCTCAAACCCAAGAAGATGTTTTATGATACCGATCTTCAAAAACCATACTCTGTAACGATTGATGTGACTACGTTATCTATGAAAATTATTATCAATGATGATCAAGCAACTCTGCTTTAACCCTAACAAAGGAACATATGTGCAACAACTAGAAAGGAAAAGTTGTCATTTGTGTGGTGAATATGATTACACTGAAGGTAAATGTGATCTCCACTTAAGTCAATTGGGCGGACCACCAAGAGAAACCACGCATGTGTCTATAGAATCCCAAACATATTAGAATATGACTATGTGTATAATTTGTCATGTTTTTAGTAATAAGTAATTTAACTATTGTGTGATGAATATTAGTGATATGACGAATACACTAATATTATAATTTTCGAGCACGAAGCTCTATCATAATTATTGAGAAAGTTGGAAATTCCAAGGCAATTCTGGAATTATCAATAAGAAAATCAGTATTCAAGAATGACTACATATCATATTGATAA